AAAGGAAGAAAAAAATGCACAAAACGAAAAATGATACACTATTATTGTCTGTACAACAATCCTTGCTGGTGTTTCTTCTTTTTGCTGTATCTAGGCTGGCTATCATGGCTGGGAAATGGAGCTGTAATCTGCCTAATGTGTAGACGCAGACGAAACTTTGATTCCCAAGATCTGTTGACCTTTAACCTTGCTGTGTCAGATGCAGGAATCTCCATTTTTGGCTACAGTCGGGGAATAGTGGAACTGTTCCAAGGTTTAGACAAAGATGGATTCTTCATCAACTCACTCTGGACTTGCAATGTAAGGAGCATACAATCTTATGGAGATTTGATAATCAGTTATTTTATACATGTTTCTTTTATTCATACTTAAAGCCCAACTCCAGTCAAAACTTATTGTTTTAGATAGAGTAGTGAAGTAGAGCCTCTGTTAGATTTCCAAAGCCTTCAAAAAAGCATATCCAAGTGGCCTTGATACTTCTAACACTTACTCATTTAGAGTAATAAAAAGTGCAGACATTCAATCAGCTCACTCGCTGCATCTAGGATGCTTTCGGCAAACAAGGATCTCCTCCATTAGGTCCAAGGAAGTCACTCAAAGCATAAAAATACAATGGGAGCACCAAAGAAAAAGGGTAAAGACTCCAAAGAGGCATTATAGTTCTTTAGCAACATCACATAAAACAGACCATGCATTTCAAGGACCTTTAACAAGGCTTAGAGGGACTCAGTAAAATGGATGATCAGATGAATATTTGTGTTGCTGATAAGTGATGGGAACAAGTGTACAGTATATGTCAGTATAAGTTGAGACAGTCGAAGTTGAGCCCTGATGAAGAGGGTGTGTTGTGGCTGTTTTGTGTGATGTTGCTAAAGAACCACCAAAAAAACTATTAAAGCTTTTTGGACTCTTTACTCTTTTGGTTTGTTGTATCTTTATGCTTTGAGGTTTGTATTGTCATCTGTGTCCCTTGTCATCTGTATCCCTGTTATGGGGGAATTCACTTCCAATCCTGTTGGGACAAAAAAAAATGAGAATCTCTCCAATAGGGACAAACATTTTTTTTTTAGCAGAGTGAAGAAGGGCTAGAACTTTTGTTTTTACTGCTTTCTATACGTTCCTACCCCAGTGACAGAGGTATCAGAGGGACAGGAAATGGTTAAAAAAAAGCTCCCCAATGGGTTCACATCAGATGTGTTGGAATTTTTAACTCTTCCCACTCAAATTTATTTTTGGGGCTGGAGCTCTGTTTTATAACATTCTTAAGTAATTATGTTTGCCTTTCTGTTTTTCTGATCCCTTCATTCAAAACATGAGAATGTAAATGTAGTTCTACAGGAAACTAAACCTTGTAAACTGCTTTGTTTGAATCCTCCGCACTCTGTCCTAATTATCTGTCTTGCTTTATTAGGTTGATGGCTTTCTAATCCTACTCTTTGGTTTGATTAGTATTAGCACTCTTACAGCAATCAGCCTTCTACGCTATGTGAAGGGATGTCAGCCACTCAGCCTAGATAAAATATTGCATATTTAAATTGTAACTCCAGCTAAAACATTTTTTTCTAGTTCTGGTAAGAGTGTGGAAGGGTTAGTATGGACTGTGACACCATTCGGTAGATTCCCTCTCACTCTAAATCCTGGTTGAGGATTGAAGGCCCAAAATTGGAATGGAGATTAGCAGAGGCACCCACAAAGGAAGAATTTGCTTGGAGGAAAGTGTGCATGAAAGATTGATCTTTATTGGTTATAGAACATACGTATATAGCCCCATTAATGCGTTTCATGGTGCTACAATGGCAATTTCTTCAGCAAGGTGTGTTGAAACATCATAAGGTTGCAGATGAGTCAGAGACACATTGAGAGCCCCAGAGGAGTTCCACACTCTGCAGCCTTAAAGTATTTCAACGCATCCCTCTGAAGAAGTAGCCAGTGGAGAGCCACAAAATGCATTAATGGTTTTAGATATGTATGTTCTATGACCTATAAAGATCTATCTTTGTTGTACAAGTTCCTCCAAGCACCTCCTTCATTAAGAAGTGCCTCTGCTAATATCCATTCAAATTTTTGGGGGCCTGGATCCTTGACCACAGTGTGCACCGGGATCCAATTGCTTTCCAAAAGAAAAACCCAACAGGCATTGAGCACTAACGTCCTCTGTGCAGATAGAGTGATATTCTCTACATACTCTCCTTTCACTTACCTTTGGGGGGGTCTTGCAACCCACACAGATGTGAGAATCAGATTATTATTTTTCCAATTTTTCATTACACTAATCCTACCTGCTACAAAATGACTGCACCCAAAACGATCTCTCCTATAGATATTTACCCTCTCTTTTTCCTCTACTCTTCATCCTTCAGAACATTTTAATCCTCTATATCCTGGTGACTGCTGTCAGCAGGGCAGAAGTTGAGAAGCAATTTACACCTTTAGAGCAGTAAAGGGGAAATCTTCCAATGGGGACACTTGTATGGTGGACAAGTGTTAAAAATAAGATTTCTCATTTCAGGACATATTCTCTAATTTGTATTGTGTCATTCAGCCAGGAAGAGAGAAGAAATCTGTCCATCAGGAACTATTGACAGCTGGCTCTGCCTATCTAGAGGCAGAGCCAGCTGTACCCGACCCCTCCCCCGTTCATTCCTCCAGTCTGGAGGATCGGACAGGGGAGGGGCGGGAATCACTGCAGGGAGCCATGAGTGACAGTCATGGCTCTCTGCAGGGACAGGATCAAGAAGTGAGCGAGCGACGGTATGTGTTCGCTCACTTCCCGACTATGAGAGTGATTTCCTCATAGTTCTCCTTTACATTTACATAACTGTTTCCCAGAATGCCAAAATGTGTGTTTGTATCCTTCTTTGTTACTCACGAGCTTCTCTCATTGAGTGGAATGTTTGTCCAGACTAGTGATGACATTATTTGGGCTTTAAAGCTTATCTAAACTCAAAAGTAAAAATGTAATATATTGCAACTCACCAATTCTTAGATGTGGTGGCTGCATTAGTTTTCCTTTTTTAAGGCTTGTGTTCCTTTATTATCTCTTGGTGATCCGGCCAGTAAAGCCTGTTAATTTTCAACTTCCTTTAACAGATCAAGCTGTCCAGCAAGAGTGGCAGATAGAGGGCTCAGACAAACCATTTAACACTGACATGGGTGCATACATCACATTTTGTTAATTTACTGTATGTAAAATCTTTATCCCAAAAGGAAAAATAAAACTGTTGCTGTATCTGTTTAAAAAGTGTTATCTGGAGTTCAGATTTAATTTGTTAGACAAGTCCATCTAAATTTGCTAGTGCATCTAACACCACCCTCCCGAAAAGAGTGACAGTGCTGCTGTCCAAGGGTGGCTCCATTGCTCCTCCATAGACTTGAGTCACCCTAAGACCTGAAGTGTGTTACTGGCCGGATCACCAGGTGACAATGAAGGAAAAAAGCCTAAAAACACAGAGAAATTCAGACATGAACCGATAGCATGAAGTTTACCTATGTGGTACAATTGTAGACAGATATTTAGAACAGGGACCTACGGCAAATCTCACTACTGACAAGTATTTGCACCAATAACATTTTAACAAAGGGGCTGGTGTATGAACTACCTAAAGTTTTTCTAAAGCCAAAACATATTTTTCTTTTTGGATACAGCGGCGAGGGTTTGGAACATCTGTCATATTTACAATGATGTATGTGTTCCCAGATTCCCCCTCTCTATTTGTTCAGGTGACCATTGTTAGCAACACAGAAAATGATGGGAATTCCAAAATATAACGGTTGTCAGTGGAACAGGTTGTAAGCCAAGGACTGTGTAAGAGGGGTATTTCCCTCACTCACATATCCTGCTGTATCTCTGGGACAGGAAGTGAAGGAAGATCTCACCAATAGGATACAGATGGCAAAAAAAAAACTTCACCTGGTTTCAACCATTGCCCACTAAAATAAAAAAGGTTAGCTATATATATATACTTTCTTTTAAGCTTGTAGGTTAATATCGCTTATGTTAAACCATAAATATTAATCGTTGTTCTTCTCACATTATATGTAAGAGCTTCGTACACAATTATTGAAGCTGAACCCCAGATAGATATAAGAAAACACCAGTCAATACAGTTTACAATATATTCATTTACATGTATTCATTTTTATTTTGTGTAAGTCCCTAAAGTTGTCTTGGTGTCAGCCTTTTGCACATTAGAGTTCAGACTAGAAGAGGAAGGAGCAGTGCTAGGAGCCAATCAGGTTGTCCTGTATGCCCATGTGTTCACAAGAACCATGCTAACAGTAGGAAAAAAGAGACAAATTACCTCAACCGTCCTCTGCTGCTCCCTCACTGTCCATACAGGGGCTGAGGGTAGGGAGGTGACCTAACTGTGTTTGTTAACTGCATTGGAGGAAAGTAAGGTCACAAAAACCTGCTCTGGCAGGGCTTTATAAACTTAAGTGGACAAAATGATGAATCCATTATCAGGTACAGCTCCCATATATCTATTTCAACTGTGTATTTAGCTGTTTGCGTACAGTTGAGCTTTAATCAAGATGTGTGTAATGTCTTTTTCAGCTCACTTAGTAGACAAATGTTGTGCCTCTGTGACTATCATTATCATATGGATCTCAGCTATCATCTGGTCTGGAGCTCCACTTCTAGGCTGGGGCAGATTTACAGGTAAGTGAATGGATGTTGATATGGTGATAATTAATTTGAATGTTATCAATTTAAATGGTATCACTGGCATCAAGCTGATTACTACAAATTGCTGAAGATAAAACACTTCTCTATATAACAGGGTTGTATGATACAAAACATTACACGTTATAGTTGTGTACATTCTAGAATGTAATTCTCCCTACAGAACGCAGATATGGCACGTGTGAAATAGACTGGTCCCTCGCTACAAGCTCCATCTCATACAAATGTTATGTCATTGGAATTTTCCTGTGGGGGTTCTTCATTCCAGTGGCCATCATGGTCTTCTGCTATGTGTCAATCATCAGAGTTGTTCATGCCAGTCACAGGAACTCCAAGGGAGGGGAGATCAGTCAGCGGCAACTCACCATGGAAAGAGACATCACACGGGTAAGAACAGAGGTCTGTTCTATAAATTACTATGTAAATTACTGACTGCTGTGTCCTTTTTTATAAACAGTATATTTACAAAAGGAAGACTAAATATATAAATTGTTAAAGTGCATCTATAGCCATTTTCGTCAAAATTTTGGATAGGGTAGGAAATGTTAAAAATCCCTGCCATCTTTTCCATTTGTGTCCCATGCACTGGATTTCCCATCACTTCCTGTACTATAGACACAACAAGAGGAAATCTCTCCAAAGTGATCATATATATTTAGATTAATCTGTGACAATCTCTCTGATTGGCAAATACTGACATCAACAATGGGGCCCTATTTCTCCCACTGACCCCAACAATGGGGCAATATTCATTCCACTAACAACAATAATGGGGCACTATAAGGGCCGGCCTTAGGTGCCATGTGCAAGAAAGCTTTACAGTGCCCCTAGGTGACCACACCCCTCAGTGGCCACACCCATTTCTCCAATACCTGCATCTAAAGCCTCCCATTTTGTTAAGCCCCAAAGAAACAGATTAGAAAGTATGATATAAAAATAAAACTTTCATTTAAAAGTATTAAACTTGTAGGCACAATATACATATTCCTATTAAATAAAACAACAGAAGGCAAACAAGTGGTAAACAATAATGTCAAACTAAAATAGAGTCTATAAAAATAAAGTGTCAGCATGTCATGCCGACCCCTTTTTTTAAGTATGTGCATCTACTGTAGTGCTCTCTACTAACACCCATTAGGCAGCTGTGAGGCCCCAGCGTGTGCTGAGGAAGCCATCTAATTCGCCTGCCTTCAGTGCAGCTTCTGTACCCTAATTGATTGGTGCAGCCAGGCGGGCCGAGCAGAGCAGTGGAGGGAGAGGCAATTTTCTAGGGGGGAACAAATTGCCCCTGCCTGAATCTGCCACTGTAGCAATGCCTGTTGCCATGGCGCCCTGTGTGGCCACACAGCTCGCACATCCAAAAGGCCGGCCCTGGGCACTATTCCTACCACTGACACCAACAATGGGGCACTATTCCTCCCAATGACACCAGTAATGGGGCCCTATTGCTCCCACTGGCACCAACAATGGGGCAATATTCATCCCACTAACGCCAATAATGGGGCACTATTCCTACCACTGACACCAACAATGGGGAACTATTCCTTCTATTGACACCAACAGTGGGGCACCATTCATCATTACACTGATACCAACAATGAGTGCATTATTCCTTCTCCCGCTAACCTCAGGCCCTAGGTCATTTTTCACTCCCACTGCTCACTGTCCCTGTAGCATTTTTTACATCCACTGACAACCATGTCTAGGGCATTTTATACTCCTGCAGACCACTTGTGTGTTACATTTTCTGATGACCCCAAGTAGAGGAGGGCAATAGTAGTGCCCCTGGAATCTGATCTCTTCTACCAGATCACAAGCTTTAAGACTTTGTAAGGAACTGTTTTATATACTGGACACCACTGGGCCTTATTCTCCTACGGTTTCTTTTGGCATTATGTGCTTCTTCTATATTCCTTTTTTAATTAACAGATGCTTTAAAATATCTATTATTCATTCTAATAATTCAATGTAGTTGAATTAAGGTATTATACGTTGACTTCTAAGGGCATATCATTTTATCATAACTATTGTAATTTTCATTATAAGTTTTATTTGTATTCAATCACAAATACCATGGAGACTGTACCATTGCCCTCATTATCCAAAGCTTTTGGTTTTAGCACACTGAACTATAAGTAGTCTTTTGTATTTTCTTTTTATCATATAATAAAAGCAGAACTGATGTGCCTGCTGGTGATAATAAAATGCACTCTTATAGAATATAAGCCTGCAGATAGAGCTGGCTGTTAAGTTGGGCAAATTTGTTTTAGGCCAAGATTGTTTAGTAATGTTAAATGGTTGTCTAAAACCTTTAGTCAAATGTATTACTAAAACGTATTTTTTCTTTGTTGCCTTTTGTTCCTTAGGTATCTTTTGTTATCTGCACAGCATTCTTACTAGCCTGGTCTCCATATGCTGTTATTTCTATGTGGTCAGCTTGTGGTTATCAGGTGCCAGCACTAACTAGTGTGGTGGCCACACTGTTTGCCAAGTCAGCAAGCTTCTACAATCCCATGATATACTTCGGATTAAGCCCCAGATTTCGAAGTGAACTGAGGGCCATGATGTGCTGTTTTCAGCAAGAGAAAGATTTACCTATGAGGTGTGAAAAAGCAGCAGTTATCTATGAAGCAAAAAAGATGCAACCAGAGGATCGCAACCAGAATTCTAGACAAATAGAGAACAATACACTGCTGACTATTAGTTCTTCATCACAAAGGACAGATTTGGTAGAATCTCCTGATATCTCTGAAATGGGAAAAACAAAAGACAGAATTGACAATGTCAATACGGACATTACGTTTGACTTTGAGATAGGGCACAACATATATTTATAGATAACTCCTAATTCATACACTTCAGATGATTGTATGGTTGTGATGTAGATGACACATAGGTGAACTGACCTAGCAGCTGCTGGAAATAGGTCGACATGCTTGTTCTGTTTGATCCACTTCTCCATGTTCTTTGGAGCCTGCCTTGTCACTATCCATAACTAGAGACAATGGGGAAATTCTGGGAAGAGTATTCAAATATTTTCTTTTAACCAAAATGTTCGAATTTCAATATATGATTATCTTCACATCTAAAATAAAGGATAGCAAATTTACATTAAGTAAATGGCTGAAGAATTCTCATATCCTGTTCCATAGGATTGGGTTTTTCTGGTCAACTAGAAAGTCAAAACACTTACATGTATCTACTTATTTATAACTCCACTTAAACTGGGTATACCAGGCTAGAATTTTGTACACATTTTCATATGGAAAATATCATCAGAACATTCAGTATTGCTATCAGAGACTTGACAATTTTTGTCTGATGTTAACATTCCATTTTGGGATGAATGAAGTTTCCTGAACGAAAACCACATTCACTGTTAGAATTTTGTTCTTTGAGAAAAATGTTCTGCCCTGCTCCTTCATTTTTTTTTTTTTCACACTAAGGTTGGAAACGATTCTTGATTCATTCTCACTATTAGAAAATTAAACAAATGCTCTGAAAACAAACATTTTCGAAGGAATTTCTAACCGTGTAAACCCCTCTTTAGACTTATACAATGCAAGACCAACTCCTAGGGGCACATCAGAAACTCTACGTCCAAGAAGTAAACTGGTTCCCAAATAGCTTGGTGGTCCACAAGAAACATTCAGTTGCTGCAAAGAAGTTTACCCATCAATGTTTGTAACTGCTCTAAACTACCACAACGTTTCAGTAGAATGTAATAAAGATAATTTATATCTGACTTGATAGCTGTTATGTATGCACACCATATTTATTTGCACCAGGTAACTAAATATACTCATAATCCAGGACCGACACCTTTTTCCTGACATACTGTATGTACATATGAAAAGCTGTACTTGGAAGCTGTAGACTTTTACTAAATTATTGAATATGAAAGATAAAAGCACAATGTTTAGCTAAATTGGGGAAGGGTTACAACCTCTTTTATCTCACTTTATGTCTCCTTTGTAGGAATCTCCCCTCATTTGCTGTTCCGTAACAGGACAGGTTAGAATCTCTGCCCAGGTTTTATCACTATAGGAGGCTGATTAAGGAGTTAATCTTCACTCACTAGATTATGTGAATAATTTCTTGCGGTAATTTACTCATGAGAAAATACATTTCTGTTCACTTTAAATACCCAATCATGTGCAGATGAACTAAGTAACCAAGAATTTTCTTTTCCCATGATTGGTTAATTGAAGTGAATATACACACAATTTATTGAAGTTGTGAAGACGAACAACTTCTTTAGTAAATCCGCCTGTATGTATCTTTCTGCCCTGTTGATAGCTGTTTTAATAATTTCTTGTCTTGATGTCACAGAGATATAAAGTGAGGACAAACCTACCCAGCGGAGTCACAGGCAGCAGTAAAACCTAGCAGACATTCTAAGGCTTCTGATAAAAATAAATTACTAGAGATGTTTTTTAGGCTTAGAGCCCATTCACACCACTAATGATGCAGTAGTACACATGTGTTGTGCAGTCTGTTAACGTGTTAAATGGGGTACCTAATGCACTGAAAAAGGCACATGTTCAATTTCTGTCACCTCTATTGGCACATCCATTGGCATGTGCGTGTGTGTTGGGATGCCATTTTAGAATGAATGGTACCGCGTTGCACCAATGCATGTAATGTTTCTTGCCTTCATGCAATGGTGTGATTGAGTCCTTCAGTTACCATAATTGTTTTTTAAATATTACACTGACCATTATGATACACTCAGCTCAATCCAATTGTCCATTTTCTATTGGAACGTTAAGGCCCTGATCATACAGTTTCACTGCAGTAACATGCATTACGAGCGTTGATGTGATGCAGTGCTATTCATCTTCAATAGCACCCCAATGCACCTTTCAATGTTAATGTACTGCTATACACTGCTATGCACTGCTGAAAATGTTGCCACCCCGCAACATTGGTTTATAGAGGTAAAGTGCCATTTTCGGCTGGCGCCCCCCCTTCACTTTTCGCCCGGTGCCCGCGCCCCTGCTGCACCCCCGGTTGTTACGCCACTGTAGAGGCCTCATTGTCCTCTCCTTTCCTGATTGGGTGTTTAAGTTCTTACAAGAAATGTAAGATGCTAGCCAAGCCTACAACTGGGTTCTAATCATAGAAAACCCCCCATACGTATTAAAATACAAAAAATATACCAAACAGGGTTAGCACCCCTGAAATAGTTACATAGTATTTGAGGTTGAATAAAGACATTAGTCCATCAAGTCCAACCTATTAAATGTTATGGATATTTAATATAAATAAAGTACACGGTACCTACCACAAAATGCTAACAAATGTACAAATCATCTCATGAAGATACAGTCTGCTACATACAGTAGTAGAGCAAAGTAAGACATCAAAATACAAGAGCGGTTACTCTCAACTTTACACCCAGCCAGGAAAAGAGAGGACAATGAGGCCTCTATAAACCAATGTTGCTTAGTGACCTCCTTCCTCAGGAGACCTCTCCCCTGAAACATTGGTTTAAAGATCCTCATCGTCCTCTCCTATCCTGGCTGGGCGTAAAGTGGAGTGTAACCGCTCTTTTGATGTCTTACAGCCTGCTACATACAGTAGTAGAGCAAAGTATCTTCATGAGATGATTCACTGCATTCTGTACATTTATTAGCACTTTGTGTTAGGTACTGTGTACTTTATTCATATTAAATATGCATAACATTTCAGGGGTGCTAGCCCTCTTTGGTATTTTTTGTATTTGTATGGGGGTTTTCTATGTTTATATCCCGGTTGTAGGATGACTAGCACCCTACATTTCTTGTAAGCTGTCCTTATGTTTATTCTATTTTTCAAGCGATATCAATGAAATAACGGCCGAAATGAAGAAAATAAGCTTTGTGAATTGACCCCATTCTCACTTATTGTATCTGTTAGGGTCATTTGCACATCATGAACATACAGGAATTAGTGATCTGAATGTCTAAACCTAGATGTCTATGGCCTCCTTAAAAAAAACTGTTGTGCGCATCTGACATTTTTGATCTGGCTATGGAAATGGTATAGAAAATGACAGCACTTCATTATGCAGTGCTGTATTCCTGAGATGTAATAATAATGAAACATGCAGCTAAGTGCTTTGTACTGGACAGATTACTATTACAACAACTGGAGTACATTTACCACACAATGATTCAGCTCGGCTGTAGGATTGGAGCATATATATATACATTATATTGTGGGGAACATGCACCTGGTACATATTGGAAGCATTATGTAGCTTACGGGTGGTCAGGACTCCAACAATGGCACCAGCAAAGCAATTTCTAAGACTTGCTGCAAGAACAATCATAACTAATAAGGGTATGAACTATTTCCTGCTGGTACTATTTACTAAACGTATATACATAAACTACATATGCAATGCCACACAAATAAGCAAACTGCATGCTTCTATACACAAACAGGGATTCTCTGAATAGAAGGGATTACTTTAATGAGTGTTTATTACATAACAATATGTTCTTTCTGTAACAGAAAAATACATGCCAAATTGGTAGTGGTAGCATTCCCCTCCTCATACGCTTCCATCCTAACTTGACATTGCAGAATAGGATGAACTGAAAATCTGTAGGAGCCTCTCATGGTGATACATTTACTTGGAAGTCACTCAATTCCCCTGAATATGGAAACAATTACAATATTACATTACGTTCTTGTTGCCAAATTCAACAATTGTTATTTTGTTATAAGTCCACTGGAGCTGAAGAGATACCTTCTTTTAGCTTAATAAGATACAAGGTTAAACTAGAAACTCTAGGGAGACTTCTTATTTCTGTTACATAGTCTAAAAATACACACAAAAGCTAGTAGACAGGTCAGCCTGTCAATGCAGAAAACTGAAGATTAATCTGATTATATTTGGCCTTTCCTCGTTAATATGCTAATCATTTTTTTAAAATATAACTCTTACATTTTCATTAAATATCTTATTTTAGATCTGGTGACATCATCACTGGGTCTCTGCACTGTTCTGTACTATTCTAAGCAATGCAGGCAGATCAAGGCTGGTGGGAAGGACCAGCAGGGTGCTGTACATGGCTGCCTAAAAACATCACAGCCCACTCCTTCCAAGAGCCCTTAGTCCTGGTGCAAGTAGTGGGCTGGCTCTTGGGAGGAGTTATGCAAATATCAAAATGCCTAGATAGGTGGATGTTAGCCCTGGGGCAGCCGTATGATCATTCTTAAGGTGGCCATACACTGTACAACCATCGCAAGACCTTAGTCTTGCGATGGTTGTAAAGTGATTAAAAAAAACGTACGATCTGCCCATCTTGGACAAGCAGATCGCACTCTCGATCAAGATAGGCAGATCGTACGTTTTTTTAATCACTTTACAACCATCGCAAGACTGTATGGTTGTACAGTGTATGGCCACCTTTAGTCAGACTGCATTTGCATGCAAACTGTCCTAAGTAACAGCCACATGTGATGCTGAGCCTCCATGTTTGAAAGACTTAGGCTGGGAGGAAAGGTCTAGATCAATAGTCACTAAATGGCTGACTGTGGTCTGGCGGAAGTGAAAAAAAAATGTAAAAGGTGATAAAAAAAAGTTAAAAAATTAAATAAATAATAATAAAACAATAAAATAAAAAAGTGAAGAGTAAAATTAATAAATAATTATAATATAATTTAAAAAATGGTCCAGTAAATGGGAATTCTGGGGGCGCTGCCTGATCCGTACCACAGTCAATAGAGTACCAAGTTCGCACATCACTGAGCTCGGTTGTAGAATCGTCGCTGTCGTCACTTTCAGTGTCTGATGACCAATTTCCCAACGAATCGATATCACTCAATTCTGCAAGTGATTCTA